ATTCCGACAAGAAAGCGAGTCAGTGTATAGCATGCGGGCGCGCGCGACCATGCACTTTGGTCATGCGATGAATTCAAGGCACTCAGTCTTCGCGCACGAGAAGAGTTGATCAGAAGGTACAATCTTTGCCGGAACTGTTTCAAACGAGGTCATGGTGCCGACAAATTTTACCAAGGTGCGTGTGTCCGTTGCCCAGGTCAGATGAAGCATAATAGTATGTTGTGCCCCATGAAGGAAGTTTCGAAGCAGGCGCTCGTGATTAAAGAGTCCGGTCATCGTCGTAGCAATGACAACAACAAAGTGGGCAGGGGTCTGGTTAAACGGCAACGAAATGCTAAGGTTGAACATGTTTACACTGCACAGGGCGGACATTCTGGGGAAGTTGACGACGTTGAGGAAGAGATCAGAAAAGTTGACAAGCAATTGAGTCTCTTGGATAAGCAAGAGCAATTGTTAAAGAAACGGAAATTAATGTTTGAAAAAGTAAAGAATTGTAATGACGACGAAGATGGTAAACACCTCGGCCCTGTTCGAGCATTGCTAGATTGTGGGGCGCAGCCGGATTTGATTGCATCTAGCCTTTACATTAAATATAAGTTTTCTGTCTTGCCAGCTAGCCGCAAGATGGTTGGTATTGAAGGGAAGTCTTTCGGTATGAGTCAGCGCGCAGTCCTGAAGGTGAAGCCGTGGTTCCACGCCATCAGCTATGTTGAAGAAGAATTTTGGGTATTACCGAGAGATAACAATTGGGAGCCTGTACTACCAGATGTCTTAGGCCGAGCAGAGTCTGTGATGGACGCATCGTTGCCATTAGCTGATCCAGAGTATTGGAAGCCCGGAAAAGTACAGGTAGTTCTGAACGTTAAGGTGTTTGCAAAGATTCTTATTGCGGTACTGCCCAGCAAGCATGAGGGGACGACACTGCTCGAAACTTGTTTCGGTGTGGTTGTCTGTGGTGCCCAGGGGCACCGGTTTGTAAAGAGATAGGCGCAGAAGTTTCATATATACACTGTACTAGCGTTGAAGAGCTTGGAGATTTGGTAAAGAGATTCTGGAAGCTGGATGAGATCGGTAGTTGTCCCATGCGAACGGAAGAAGAAGAGAAGGTTGAACAATTATTTTTAAACACGTATTCAAGAGATGGCACCGGAAGATTTACAGTTTTAATACCATTAAAGGCAGACATCTGCGACATCGGAAGCTCCAGGCTGGTTGCACTACGTCGTTTCCTGTCACTAGAAAAAAGATTAAATCAGGATCCTGCGTTAAAAAAGCAGTATGTCGCCTTCATGAGGGAGTACGAGCAGTTAGG